AATTTATAATCTTTGACGACGGGTGGCAGCAGCGATCAAGGATGTTTCATCAAATCAACTAAGAATTTATAACATAACGAACTCAACCTCTTACCTAAAAATAGACGTCCTATTTTTCGGGTAACAATATAAATGACTCAGAAATAAGAAGAAAAGCATGGTATTTAGATTATATTGTAGTAATAATATCATATCAACATAAAAATACGAATATTAGAAAAGACCTAAAGATATAACTAGAATGAAAAAAAAGGATATATAATATAGAAAAACAATTAGATCACATATGGTATGTGGTATTTAAATTATAGATTTTAGATTATATGTGGTATTCAGATTATATGTTTTAGATTATATATATTATTTAGATCATGTGTGTTATTTAGATCACATATGTTATTCAGATCACATGGTACTATGATTTAGGATAAGTGAAAATATCAGATATAATATAATTATATCATATATAATATCCTACTCATTATAATATTTCATAAATTTTACAAACTCGTAAACTCGCATAATTTTACAATATAATACTCTAAAATATTATAAAAATTATAAATCTACAGAATATTAAATCACATTTAAATTCTAAATGAGATCATTTAAATGTTAAGATATTGTGTTTAAAGTTTTAGTATAAATTATGGAATAATGCTAATTAAAATTAATTAAATTTACTATACTTTAAGTTTTAAACACTTTTTTATCACTTTTTTATTATTTTCTTGTAACTTTTAAGGGTTCTAGTAACTAGATCAGCTAGGACAAAAATTTTTTATTCTTATGAAATTTCTCTATTCCTATAAGAAAAATTTATGGAAATTTTTTTAGAAATAATTTTAATATTGATTTTAGAAATTCTAGTTTGATTTATTATATTTTTTATTACTTGTTTATCCTTATATATGTAAAATTCTAGAAAAGTTCAATTTTTCTATAATATTTCTATAAAATATATATGATTATATATATGATTGATATTTAGGAGAATTGTTAGCAAAATAGGACTCTGAGCATTTTTTATTAAAATTTTAATTTTTGATAATATTAGATTCAAATGCAATAAAAATTAAAATTTTAATAAAAAATGCTCAAAGCACTATTTTTCTAGTAATCCTCCTATATAGTCAATATATTGTATAAAAAAGAATAAAAAAATTAAGAAATTTGGGATTTCATTTGATTATATAGAAATATAGGAACAAGTAATGAAAATAACCTTCTAGTATTTTAAAATCACTAAAAAGATATTTTAGCATTCTTGTTAACTGTCTTTATAAATTTTTATAAAACCAATTTTTTGATAAGACTTTTAGAACTAATTTATTAAGAATCTATATTATTGAATCTGAAGTCTGCTATTTTGAAACATTTTATCTAATTTTTTCTGTAATAATATGCATTTAAATAATACTTATTTACATGCAAATTATATAATTTATACTTTAAATTTAGCTAGAAATTATGAATAATGTTGGTTTAAATTATACATTAATAAATCATATAATATTTAACTTTTTACCAAATTTATTGTGTTTATTGCATTAATTGTGTCTTGAATTCTTAGTACTTTCTCATTATTTTTTTGCAACTTTCTTTGTATTTATATCAAATTATCAATATTAAAAAGGTTTAAAAAAATAGCTAGAGAATAAAAGAGATAGTTATCAAAAGGAGTAGATATATTAAAAAGTATTAATCAGATTAAAAACATTAAATTATAGGATGATAATTAGATTATAAAAATTAGATTATATGGGGCAGACTGCAACAAAACCAGACAAAGTGAACATTTGATCATATGAACATGATTACCATTGTTTTTACATAAAACATAGTTATTCAAAAGGTTAAAACATGCTGACTAATAGTTCGATCTTGTGTTACGATTAGAACCAAAATGTCATACGTTTTGATTCGCGTCGCGTTTTCCTATTAATAATTAAGGCAAGTAGAAAAGTAAGTAGAAAACAGATTACCTCTGGCGGCCTACAATATCCGATGCCCGTATGGCAGAGCTAGATTGCCTTACTGTCTAGTTAATTCCTGCGGCTGTTGTTTAGAGCAGGACGTAGGCTATTCTCTTTGACGCATCGTTCATTCGTTTAGATGGACTTTCTCATTGTAGCTCACGCCTGCGTTCCTGCCTCTAGTATATTGGATGTAGTGTTTCCTACACCTGCAGGGCGAAGCATAACAATTGCGTTATGTACCTCCCTGTGGCGGATGCTTGGTAGAGATCTGGAGGACTACCCTCTTTGACGCATTGTTTGCTCACTGAGGCAAACTTTCTCATTGTAGTTTACGCCTTCCATTCTCTAAACAGAAAGCATTGCATCAAGCCAGTATCTTCGTATCATTCTTGCATGTCTTTGACTTTTTGCATTTTTATTTTGCGGAGCTATTAATAATTTCATTAATTTTATTTTGTATAAGGATGGATTTCGAAAATCCAATTGTAAATTACTTTCGGTTGAATGATTATACCAAATGGAGTGTATTTGAAGTCCTGCGCTACATATCAAATAGCATTAACTTTACAAGTGAAAATGTGAATGATATTAGTGAATCCTTAAAAAGACAATTAGAAATTTTATCCTCGCACAAAAGTCTTCGCGTGGCAGCAAGAAACAAAGCCACCAAACTTCTTGAAAACCTGCGGGAAACTTTAGCAAATCGAAGAGAGATTTTGAATTTCATTGAAAGTCAAGATCTAAAATTCGCTGAGGTTGGTAACATTGATCTATCATGTGCACTTTATTATTAAAGAAAAGATTAATTTTTAATATATTATCATAGAATCGATATAAATTAAATGTTGAGTTAAGCGTCGTTACTGATAAAACAGCCATGACAGGAAAGACCACTGAAAAATTTGCAAGAGTAGGTATTAATTATTTATTAAATTCTTGGAAAAGATAATTTTATTGAGATCTCTTATATACTCCAGTCTTTGAACGACAATCATGACATTAGGGGCTCTGGAAATCAAGATTCCAGTACAGAAACACAGACGTCAAATGGGCCGTAGGTATTCATTATTTATTTCCATTTTATGTGCTGTACTTCTCATATCAAATCAATAATTACATTTTTTGCAAATATAGTTAAGCATTAATTCCACACGAAATGAATTGATCGAACATCGAAAGAAAAGAAGGGTGAGCCGATACTCTGAAATTGGTATAGCCAAAAAATTAGCGCCATTAAGGGTTCAACATTAACTACCTTGATGTATATTAACGTAAATGAAATCCCGAACACACAGTAGTTCAGGAAGTGTAAAATGCCAAGAGAAATTTTCGGGGAATAAATTTCATGCCATAAATCTTATTCATCACGCCACTATTTGTCAACCTTCGGCATGATCCTGTTACTCACACTTATTATTATACAAATTTAATATCATGCCAAAGTACTGTATAACTATCTCTATATAAAAATAAAATATATGAAACTAATTTACATTAAATCTACCATGGAACCAAAGAATTATAGCACTATTAGAAGCATTCTAAAAAAAGAACAGGGTGAAAAAATTGCTTCATATGTTTTTAAAATCAATGATACCAAAATTCTTGAGGAATATCTAGATAAAGAAAAAATCACTTATGAAATTTATCAAGAAGAACGAAAAATAAACCAATAAACAAGCATTAATGCCAACTTATGATGAACCAAGAAAGAAACGAAAAATAGAAACATGAAGCAAATAGCATTATCATTTAAATTTATTTAAAGAAAACAACTATCATTATTTGACAATTGGAATAAATTTTTTAACTTATTTCCTTACTTTTAATCAAGATCACTTCTTAGTTTCTTTGACCTCGATCTGAGCAACTAACTGACCATTTTGTTGTTGTAATTGGGTTAATTGCACTTTTAACTCGTTAATCTCTTTTATTAATTCCTGATTAGTTAAACCTTTTAACTTTTCATTCTCTTCTTCCAATTGCTTAATCCTATCTAAAAGTTCTTGTTTTTGTTCCTTGCCTCTTCGTTCAGACATTTCATGGAATTTGGTTATCTCTTCCCTTTCGATGTTTAACTCCTCTTTGGTAGTTGTTAACTCTTCTTCAAGTTCTCTAGTTTTGTTTTCTAGACGAGAACTGAAAGATTGAGAAATTAATTCTTTATCAGAAAGTGGTTTAGTTGACTTAGCTTTTAAACGACTACAAAAGCATCTATTCCTATTCCTTTTTAACCTATCACATTTTTCACATCGCGGAAGAATATTATTATCGTAATCCTTTTGCATCCACCGCAAATAAAAACTATATCAGAATAGCCATCAGGAGTATTACGAGCCACCATTTGATGAATAGCAGGAGCAGTATCGAAATTAAAATTAGTTGGGTCATCGAAATCTAGAAAACAAAAGTTACACTCCTGCTCATCATCCTTTGATATTTCAAGGACTCTATATTCTAATCTCATACTGACTTACTTATTTTTTTGAATAATAAAATTTTGGAATTTCTCTTGAGTCTTTTCTTTTACTTTATTTACTAATTGTTTGATTTTTCGTAATCTGTTCTTTTTCTGTCGCTCTGGTAAAGTTGGCAATTCCTTATTTTCTAAATAGTTTCTCCAATCTATTTCCTGATTTTTAACTGCCAAATTATTCTCCAATAAATCTATTCGGTCTAGGAGTTTTCCCATTGATGCATCATGTTTCAAAACTGTTTCAAACATTTGGCGCTTTCTCCATTTCATAGTTGTGTTTAAAGCTTTCTCGGCTTCTTCTCGCTCCATCCATACCTCATCATCCAATTCTTTTAATTTTATCTTTAATTCGTTTTGATTAGTCTCCAACTGTTGAATTTTCTCTTCGTATTCCCTTTTTTGTTCAAATTTTCGAGTATTTAAATCACTTATTTTAGAAAAGCTTCTAGCATAGTCACCTGCTAAATCATTTGAATAATCAATAAACCCTTCTAACATTTCTTCAATAGTAATATTGTCAAATCAAATTCTTTTACAACTTTTCGCTCATTCTCTAGTTTCATTTGGATCTACTGCCATTCTTAACTTGCCTTCATCCATTCATTTCTTGTTTAGTTTCTTATATCATCAAGTGCCTCTAGGAGCATACATGCTAACTTCACCCTTGTCATCAAGAGACTGACCAGTAATGCGCCAGATCTTTAGTTTTAGATCTTCAATTTCCTCTTCTCTTTTTTTATTGATGTTGTTAATTTCTTCTAATAATTGTTTGTTTCTCTGTTCGAGTTCTACCATTACATTTACCATGTTTTTTTTTTTATTTTTATTTATTCTGTTAATATACTTAAATCCTTTTTATATATTATATTTTAATGATCTAGTAATGATCTAGCTTTGATCTAGCTTTAAAAATTAAAAGTGAAACAGCTAGCAATATATTAAAAATTAGACGAAGAGCTTAATAATAGCGAGGAAATCAATGGGCATTGAAATAATGGAGAGAATTTTAGTCTAAATAATTTATTCGTTGCCAGTATAGGTTGGTCTTGGACAAGTAATGTCTTTGAATTCATCTCTAATGAATGGGCGAATATTATGATAAAGATACTCTTGTCTTTTGTAATCCAAAGGAGGAGGGGTTAGTACTAGGATTGAAAAGGATTTAATTTCTTTGATAATTTCAGAAACACTTGCTTTTCTAGTTTTCAATAAATTAAATTCAGTAAAAGCACCATTAGCAACCAGTTGAGCTTTGACAACTCCAGGTCAAGCTGTTTCAAATAGAAAATGCTGGTATTTTTGCAAACCATTTAACTTTTTAAAGAAAATTCCCAACATGGAATTAAGATCTAAGTATTGAAAAACCTTTCCGTTATCATAATACTGAGCTTTGTTTAATCCAATTGTACTTGATTTTTTCACAACTTCAATAATATGATCCACACAATCTACCATTGTTTTTCTATAGAGTTTTTTAATCAATCCAAAACTACCATCACACTTGAATTTAGTATGTTCAGGTACCATAAAATTTAATTCAATACTTTCATAATAACCGCAAATTATTAAATATAGATAAAATCAAATGGTAGCATTATTTTTATTCTGCCCTCCTACATTATCACAAGTAATCTTTAAATACTTTTCACCTTTATTCAATCTCTTAATTCCATCGAAAATCATGCTTAATGTGCCATTAGGACCTTTGCCGATAATTTCGTCTTCATCAAGAACGTAATTAATTTGTTGGCGTACTGCTTCATCTTGAATACCAAATAAATGTATTTTACGCGGACTAAGATAATAAATCTTACTTACCTGTTGGTCAGAATGTGGAATGTGAACATTTTGTGCTCAATCGTAACTGTAATGAGCAGTTGCGTCAACACTACAATAATCAGCTTTACCTCCTGTCACAAGATAATTCTCGTCCACTAATTTTCTTTGTTGCTCTGCTAATTTCGTATTTTTGTTGTAATAATTTCTTTCTAATTTAGCTTTAACCAGATGTTCTTTATATTTTTTCAATAAGTCTTTTGCTTCCTCTTCCTTGCGAGCATTATACTGTAAGCTATTCTGAAAATGTTGACACGTATCACATAAATCCGTTCTTGGACTCATAATTTGAATATAAGGCGTTAATTGGTGCCATAACCTGCGGAATGCATCGTATTTTAACAATTTCAATGTGCTATTGTTTTCGAGACCTGCAATAAAATCTCGATAGACTAATTTGTAACTTGTTTCGGCTGGCAAAAGTATAAGCGATTGAGTAATTCGGTTGACGTTTCTACCAGGACTTGGTAGCCCATGAATTTCAGCATAATTCTCAAGAAAATTCTTCACGGCTGTAGCAACGGTTATATCAATAGTTATTTTAGTCTTTCATCGCGGCACTCTTTTTACATTGCCATGAACACGCGGTATTATGCCATTCGTTACCAAATGATTTCTAACATTTTCTAAATGAGTACGGCCAATTCCTAACATATTGAGATAAGTTTTCTGGCAAATAGGCGTATTGCGATCTCAGTAGTAAAACGTTCGCTTATTAGTACGCGTTTTCTTTTTAAGACGTCGGCTGGCACTTATTTCTCCACCATTCATTGCTTTCAACTGGGCCATTAAAAATATATCTTGTTCAGATCTAGAGAGAGCCTGAAATGCCTCACATAATTCAGCAAACTTTTCTCTTGGAATTTTTTTGAACAACCACAATTACACCCTATATTAAAGAAACGTATTGCCTTTTCATACTCGGTGGAGCTATTGGATTCATTATTCTTCATATATGGGTAATCCTATATATAAATTTTATTGCTTTCATGCATAATATACAATAAGTACATGTGAGTTAAATCAAGGCATTTGGATAAATCAATGGATATTATAGCATTAATATGTTAATAATTCTACCATGGAAATTCTGTTCTAGTGTATTTATAGGCAGTCTTAGTCTGTCATACCAAACTATTTTTGGCACATTGATACATTGCACAGCATCAGATTATGACAAACATTTCACTATCATAATTACTGTATTAATACAAAATAAGAGGTGAATTTTATTTATTGTTAAAGAAGAACTGCATTATAAAAGAAACAACTGCTACAACATTACTTTCTATTGTGTGAAAGCCTTTATTTTTGGAAAAAGATGTCTACTATCCACAAATCGTGTTCTGTAGTAATTTCTCCTAAATCTGTTGCATCAGGATAGCAAGGAAGATTAGGTTTCATATACAGTATAAAGGGTATTTAGCTTCGGAAATTCTACAAAATCAACAAGTACAACATCAGTCATTGGACTTTGGAATTGACTTACATAGTCTTATGATCAAATGTTCACTTTGTCTGGTTTTGTTGCAGTCTGCCCCATATAATAGTAGCCAGATTATAGAGTGATACTCAAATTTTAGAATAGTATTCAGATTATAGAATAGTTCTATAATTTAGTCTAAATAATATATCATTCTTTAGTATAATTATATTAAATAATGATATATAATATATTTATTATAAATTAAAATAAATTTAATATAATTTATTATGGTATTAAAATAAATTAGATTAATTATTTTTGAAATAAATATTTAAATACATAATAATTGAATTTTAAATTTAAATATATTAATTATTATTAAAAGTTAATTTTTTATATATATTTATATTATTAAAATATAATTATATAATATTAATTAAAAAATTTTATAAATATTATAATAATAAAAAAAAAATTTTTTTTAATTCATATTTGTAACGCCTTATATATCATATATATCATATTAATTTAAGGATTAGTAGTTTTAATCATATGATATAAGTAATGATCACCGCTGGTGATAAATAAGAAATTTCTATAAAAACCCCTTTTTTTATTCCCATTCTTATTTCTTTATTAAAAAGTTTTAAAGGATAAATATTAACTTTTATAATATTTATATTATCATTTATATAAAAAAAAATGCAATACTAATTAATATATAAGAATCTTAAACCAGTAAAATAACCTGATTTAATTCAAAAAGAAAAAGTAATATAAACGTGTAACTATGTAACCAAACCATTAAATATTATAAAAGAAATTCAAATGTTCAGATGACCGAAAAAATTTCCGAAGTCCTACTAAAAATTTCCATTGACCAATCGTCACATTGGGTATCCGAAACTTATGGAATGATGTTTGTGCAAGTTAGTAACTTATCGCAAATTTTGCTTGCACGACGTATTAACTTCCAAAACCCTTTGAAATTAAACTGTCCAAGTGTCCTTCCCCCTTTGCACGGCCTTCTCTTTCCGCCCGCTCCAAGATTTACAAGATAACAAAAAGGTGCGTGTTTCTTTTGTCTACTTTGTCACTCCTCAATCACCCTGAAGCTGCTGTCACTTGAGGGTGTTGAGTTTGACATTGGCAATCTCGAACCGCCATCGTAGATTTTCTGTCATCTTTCTGCTGCACATCTAACAAAACACTCACTTAGGGGCTCCCAATTTTCCAACTGTCACACTCCTTAGTCCTTATTTAAAATTTTATAAAAAAAAGAGTAAACTTCCTGGTCGTTTTCCGTGCCGAAAGACTCGGTTATGATAAGTTTGCGATATTGCCGATAATAATAAATTGCGTATTCCCCTCACACATCCCCTCCGACAATTACAAACAAGTACTCTTGTCAAGTTGTCTATCAACTTTCGTTCCATATATTGTCTAAAACTACGGAGACTCTTAAAATCTCTTTCCTACATTTCCATCCTTCCGTTATTTTCGTACGGCCAACATAGGATACCTATCTGCGCTGTATTTTTCTTACTTTGGGTTAGCCTCTTAAGCATTTGTCAAATTACTCCTTCAGTTCCTTTTGTATTTTGTTCACTGTTTAATTGCTTAATTCATTAATTTAATTAATTTGGATATCCCTAAATTTGACTTCTTTCTCACGTTTTCATTCTCTGGGATTAGAATTTGATTTTATTATCAACCATAAATCCCAGTGTTGATAAGAGATACATATACTTTCATAAATATTTCGATATGAGTCAGTCGCCAATCACTCAAGTTAGTCCTGAGAATGACCTTGGTATGCCGCAAGGCATAATAACACAGGCTTCGGAGTCGAAATTTATCGGAACGAAAACAGAAGGTAACGTATCATCTTATAATCTTCTTTTGTATATGTAGAAGTTATAAATATTTGATATAAAGTTATTTGAATTTACAAAATCGAAAAAAGCTTTATCTAGTGAAGTATGGAAACTAAGAAAATTTAGTATCCAAGTTTTGTTTTGTGTAATATTTAAAATATATTGGATTGTAATTATGACAAAAGACAAATAAAATATTTTAATTAAGGTTTTATATAATTTCCAATAATAATGAAGTTTTACTTTATTTTATTAAACAAATCCACACCAGCCAAAAACATTTCCATCTCAACAAGCAATACGTCCACTACACTCGCAAATGTAGAATCTTCGTTACCGGCAAGTCAAAAATCCCCTAATAATACAGCAACGCAACGTTCACCACCACGTTCATTTTTCTCGTTGTTTTTTTGTTGTACATGGGGAGCTGGCGCGATGATAAACGATGTTGACAGGGCTGATAATACTACCACTGCTCCTACTTCTAGTACTCCATCTGGGACTGTGAGTAATAAAAACATTAATAAAAAGCCAACAACTTCAAACACGACAGAACCAGAAAAATCTGCTGAAAATAATTCTCCGGTGATTCCCGAACCAATCACGGAAGTTCATATTGAAGAGGTAATTATCTACTCTCATAATCTTCATGACTTGATATTTTATTTTGTTCGTTATTTAATTCAAATTTGATGTTAGGTCGAACGTAAGTGGTTGCTTGACCCAATAGGATCTGAACATACTGGCAGAAAATGTCTAGTATTAGATTTGGATGAAACCTTAGTACATAGTTCTTTTAAGGTAAGGTGTTATATTTACTCATACATTCCAATATTATTTTCGTTTTTTTTTTCCTTTTTTTTTAATCAAATTTCTTTTTGATTTTGGGCAGATGATCCATCAAGCTGATTTTGTTGTACCGGTTGAAATTGAAAATCAAATACACAATGTCTATGTGATAAAACGTCCTGGAGTTGATCAATTTTTGAAAAAAATGGGGGAGATATATGAGATTGTAGTATTTACCGCTAGTTTGTCAAAGGTAAGCTACTTGTTTTCTTTGGATTGATAAAATTGTCATGATATTTATTTATTTTTTTATTCTTTTTTTTTTTTTTTGAAATAATAGTATGCCGACCCTGTCCTTGACATGTTAGATATACATAAGGTGGTTAAACATCGGTTATTTAGAGAATCATGTTTTAATCATAAAGGAAATTATGTAAAAGTGAGAAATCCCTAATTGGTTTGTGTACTTTGTTCTCATTAATCAGACTAAAATTCTAATATTTATATGATTTAATGATATTTAGGATCTATCACAACTTGGTCGTGAACTTAGAGATACTATCATCATTGATAATTCACCCGCAAGTTATATCTTTCATCAAAATAATGCTGTTCCTATATCGTCATGGTTTAATGACCCACACGATACGGAATTATTGGATTTAATACCATTTTTGGAAGATTTAACAACGGTGGACGATGTAATGATGGTGCTGGACTCTTACAATGAAGCGCACTAGAAAATCTGATGCGAGGACAATTCCTGAACATAGCAGGTGGTGCTGTATATACAGCACGGACTTGGAAAACAGCATGTTCACAGCTGCTTTCTTGACTCTCACACGGGATTGTCAAAGATATTGATTTTCTTTAACATTATTTTGGACCCTGGAATTCAAGAAGGCAGCTCGTGGAATTATGACTTTCACCCTATTGAATTTTTTTTTCCTTTTCATCGACCTTGGTACGGATTTGGGGGGATTTGGGTTTCTAGGTCTTTCATCAATCAAACTTTATATCAAAAAGATTGGACTGTCTCATAATAGTAAATTTGAGATTAACTATGTGTTATAATTTTACTTTAGTGCGCGAGATGTATTATAGCTTATTTTTATGTTCTTGGTGGGCGCTATCGAGTAATACTGGACACGCTCTTCTCTTTTTTTCTTCACATTAGATTATTATCAAGGGGAAATTATGGATTTTTTGTCGGTACCCCGCGGGCGATGTATACCGACTTGATATTTACTGAAACTTTATTCTCTCGCCAATCCGAATATATATATATATATATTAACATACTAAATATATGTATTAGGATTAGTATGGTCAGGGAAGTTTACTTGACCATCTCATTATTGTAGTTTTTTATGATAAATTTTTATTTTATATATATTTTTTTTCATTTTTATTTTTTTTTTTATTTTTTTTCTCTCTTTTATTTTCTTAATATATACAGTATATCATTTCCTGTTTATTATATATATTCTTCTTAATAATCTATTGTAGATTCTCTTTCCCTTTTTTTTCCTTTTTTAAAAAAAAACAAAGTTATCTTATTTCTATTTTTAAAAATTGATTATTTCGTGTTGGTGAGTAGAAATATTTATGATGGATTTATATCATCGCCCTAAACATTTTCTATTATTTTTTCGTCCCAAATATTTTTTTAAATTTTCCTTTAAATTTTTAAATTACATTTTTCATTGTTTAATTTTCCTCAGAATTGATTTTTTTTATTTGTTTTTTTTTAAAAAGATAAAAAAAAAAAGTTGATCTAATTATTTTCTGTAAATTTTAATTCCGTCAACTGAAAACATTCACCATTTAAAGCTCGCTCGTACTATTTATTATAATGAGTTTCCATTTTATTATTATTATTATTATTATTATTCTTATTATATTATTATTATTTATTAGAAAGTTGCTATTAACGTTTGATTCGTGCTTATAGTTTTTTATTTACAGAGAGAAAATAATTTCGTACGTGCCTTTTCATAGGCATTCCAAAATTATTAACTAATAGTGGTAAGAGAAATGGATTAATTTATTTTGTTCATCAATAATACTATCAATAATACTATTTAGTATAAATAAAAACTGAAACGAGAACGTCCATATTTTTAGTAAATTGCTTCGTTGTTTGACGAAATTAATAAATATAAGAGTGAATGCCTTTTTTTATTTGATTTTATCATAAACCATACTGTAGTACAAGATTTACATTGCATAAGAAATAAATTAAACTATTGTTACACTTAAAAGATTTTTTTATTGTTTTTGAAAAAAATTTCTTATTTGTAAATTGTCCTTTTGTTTTTTTTTTTGTTTTGATTTTTGCAATATTTACATATGTTGAGATAAATTCAAAATGATATTATCGTTTTGCCTCATTTTTGCACTTGTTGATCTTCTTTTGCGTAATAAAGTGTGTGGATCAATATCTCGTGCCATTGGTTGATCGGTAGCGGCCCGTTTAAGAGATGGTCTTACATCCGTGTCAAAATTAGTTTCATTCATTGAGGCAATTTGTTGTGGTAAAAATTGTTCACTTGCAATACCAGAAAATTGAACCGGAACGCTTGTGAATTGCTGTTGATGGTGATAAGGATATGAGATAAATTGAGGATTTCCAAAATTTTGAATTTGGTGACCATCTTGTTGTATATTGGTAGGTTCAGGCCAAGAGAATTGATTAAGAAAAGAAGCCGCATGAGAGAGAGAATGAGCTCTTGCTCTTTTGTGACTTGCCATAAACTTAATTATTCCTTTACAATATTCAGCATCCCCTCCTTTCAAAATATCAACTTCGCATTCTTTAACAAATTGTTGGAATTCGGAAGTTAAAGAAACCGGATTGATAGCGGAAATTTGAGATGAATTGGTACAAGAGGAGAAAGAAGAGGGTTGTTGATGAGGATTTGTTTTGCTTGTAGTTGTTGTTATATCTTCATTTGAAAAATTATCATTTTCAATTGAAGAGTAATCTTCTATACTAAACAAGGAAAAAAAAAAAGGTAAGTACTTACTTATCGGGGAATCAAAGTCGAAATCTTGTGGTGTATCTTTTCCACTATTGTCATTTCCCGGCGATCCGACTTCGATCGGAGTGGCTGGAGTGGCGGGTGCGAGATTAAAGGTTTCCAAAGGATGATTATGATTATAAACGAGATGGATCTCACATGGGTGTGAAAGTTGAAGCCTGCTTTTTTCCAATCGAATTTTTGCCAAACATTGACAATTTGTATTTCGACTTCTTCGTTGACCGGCTTTCTGAGCATAAGTTTTTTGCATATACTTTATAGCAGCGATATCAGCATGTCTACAATGAAAGTCTTTATGATATATAACTTTAATGCCTTTTACTTTATCAGCTCTAGTGATACGAAAGATGGTCCCTGTCTTGTTATGAAATGCAGAGCGCCATTCTTCAATCGCTTCACTTGAGGCAATATTCACGTAAAAAGTTGAATCGAAAGCAGCCGTAGGTGCACCAGGAAAATTTTCTAATTCTAATTCTTTATACGATTTAATAATATAAGTGTAATTATCGGGGAGAACTTGTTGTAGAAAATGAGGAAGTTGTTGATATGTCCTCGGTGTTGGTCTGCTTGTAGTATCGGTTCTAGTTTTTAACCGTTGTTGAATACGTTTTTGAATTTCTAAACGGGAAGCAGCCGAATTAGAATTATCGTTATATGTAGTAGTAGTATTAATAGTAGACATTTCTTTGAATGGGTGATTTACGTAAAGAAAAAAAAAACAAGAAATAAAAAAAAAATTTTATTTTATCTATTCTTAAATCGGTTTATTCGTAAATAAGTTTGTTGTAAAAAATTCAAAAAGAAAAAAGGGGGTTCTTTGAATAGAGAAACGAAACAAAGTCGCGTTTTCGTTCTATATATACAAAAAATGTTTGATCTGAAAATTGTTCCTTCAAATATACGAACATAGTCTGATGGAGATCACCTCCGAATACTAGATGAACCGTAAACCATTTTTATTATTGTTAAATTTATTATTATTTTATATACAGAAACGTTTGTTTGTTTTTTGGGACGGGTTTTTTTGGTGGCTGTACGATACTAAAATTCCATTTGCAGAAAGAAAATATCTAAAAATACATCAAGTTAAACGTATTTATCCCTATTATGCATCGATCGACAACCCTAACTTTAGACATCAGATTACAAATAAATTATAAATAGCAATTAAATGACTATTCTTATTCAGTATTATTCTAATAAGCCTAACCCATAAGAAGTTAATGAACATCTATTTATAATTATAGGATTTAATCGCGTACCTTTTTTTCTTTCATGCGCGTTTATTGAATTCAAGGTAAACAACAACTTCAGCTGAGCATAAAGAAAAAAAAATTGTTGTAATGTCATCTTTGTGGCGTACTCTAAAAGTTTCTGTTGAAGAATTAAGACTAGATACAACTTTAAAATGCGGTCAGTCATTTAGGTGGAAAGTTTCCGGAGAGAACGAGTGGTATACCGACTTATACAAATATATTTTTCATGGTTACAAAAATAAACAATATATGTATATGATTGATTAAATGCATTTGAATAAATAAGGTCATGCGCTTTCAAAGGAAGGCTTATCACCTTGAGGCAAACCCGTACGTAACTTTAACTTTAATTTTATATTTTGATTGGATATAATATGAAACGACATAAAAAAGAATTAATCAAAATGAGTAAATTCATTTAACCTGATTGATCACAAGTAGCTACGGACATTGATTACCGAACCCATTTCGCTTCTAACGTTTCATCATCTCAAATTAATCATGAATTGGATAAATTACATGAATTCTTGATCGATTATTTCCAATTAAATACCGTTAACCTAGGTGAATGTTATACTAAATGGAGTAAGGCGGATAAACATTTTGCAAAAATAGCTCTAAAGTTCAAAGGAATTAGGATATTACGACAAGATCCAATTGAAAATTTATTTTGTTTTATTTGTTCGACTAATAATAACATCAATCGAATTTCTCAAATGGTAATGTCGATGGAAATATTAACATTGGGACATTTCGATCTATTTATATACTCATTTATTTGTTATTATTTAAATTAGGTTGAAAAATTATGCCGTCAATACGGTGAAAAAATATGTACATTGAATGGGGAAGACTATTTTGATTTTCCCACATTGGAAAAACTGACATCACCAAATGTTGTTGACGAATTAAAAAAACTTGGATTCGGATATCGTGCAAAATATATTGCGCAAACTGCTAAATACATGTGTGACAATTTCTCAGATGGTGAAGTTTGGTTACGCTCTTTACGAAATTTGTCTTACAAAGAAGCGCACGGTGCTCTTTTAAAACTTTCCGGTGTAAGATAACGAATTCCTTATCAGTCAAGAAGTTTTTTTTTTCATTGATTATATATTAATATATATATTTTTTTAATATTATTTAGGTCGGACCTAAAGTTGCCGATTGTGTGTGCTTAATGTCGTTAGATAAACATAACGCTATACCGGTTGATACGCATGTTTGGCAAATTGCACAAAAGCAATATGGATTTAATGTGAAAATGAGAGGGGCATCAAATTCATTGACGACTCGTAATTATGCGGCTGTTGGTGATCATCTTCGAGAGATTTTTGGAGAGTACAGCGGATGGGCTCATTCTGTAATCTACTGATTTTTTTTTAAAAAAAAAGTTGCTAAATTTCTTTATCGTAGACATTTCTTGAACTATATTTTTTTTTTTTTAGGTGTTATTCACTTCTGATTTAAGGCCTTTCGAAGATCGATCAACTCCTGCACGAGAGCTGAACTCAACTTCATCCATAACAACAAAGATTACCGGAAAACGGCAAATAAAGATTAGTCAGGAGATCAATTCCAATATTGTCCGAGAAAAAAGAAAAAAATCTCAATAATAATAAAACGCCGTAGATCATAAATTTGACAATTCTATTTTTAGCATTTTTGGTTCATATCGTACAATTCTGGGTCGATCAAAACTCAGATCGACAATGATTAGTAAAACTCAATAAATAAAACTTGCACGTTTTCATTTGTCATACAACCGATTAAATACATATTTGAATTTTTCAATATTTGGATCTTTTAAAAATTTTTAAAGGAAATTTATAGGTTCCATTGTGATTATTTGATGAATAAAAAACATGTTATAAAAAAAATTATTTAACTGAATTATGCAATTCATTGCCTACAAAAACATTTCTTATTTGTAAATTGTTTTAAATCCAATTGCATAATATCGTGAAAAGAAGAACTTTATTGGCTCATGTTTATTTTATTTTTTTTAAAAAAAAAAATATCCTTTTTTTTAAGAAAATACAATCTTTGAGAGATATTTTTGTATTCATGAAATTTGTTTATGGTTGGTTCTTTAAAAAAAATAAAACTAAAAAAAAATGTGTCAAGAAAACATTAAATAAAAGATTCATAATTTTTATTGGTTTTAAATCCTGATTTTGATACTTTCGTGTGATTACATATTGAAACGCGTTCAATATGAAACTGCTTTGTTTATAATTCTATTTTTTTTTTTTTACCTTTGCCGAAATCAGAAATTTTAAGAATGCGCTTAATTCGTTTTTTGAGAGAAAAAATAATTTGGTAAAAAAATTTTTCATGTACAAATAATTAAACCTGTAAAATGTATGTTTAAATTTAGACCCTATTATGAAATTATATATATATATGCAGTCAAACCTTGATATAGCGTACTCTTGATATAGCGAATTTTTAACATTTAACCCGAAACAGACAATTAAATCTTTTAAAAAATTCGTTATAATCTTATAACGAAGGGGTTCGTTATATCAAGTCTATATATATACTATATAAAAATAGTAAATGTTTATTTCATAATCATGATCATTACTAATTTCCGATATAACAAAAAGAAATTCATATGAAATCTGCAGATCGACATCTAATCTACAAAATCATATAATTCTTTATATACATAGATATTAAACAAAAAATATACAGTATATTATATATATTAAACAATATATATAGTATAGATTTATTTTTATTATTTATCTAAAAGAAGTTTGCGATATCACGTGATTATGGCCAACCAATAATAATCGAAGTTTTTTTATTAATAAAAATTATATTTTAAAAAAAACTGTTCTACATTAATATTTATTATATCACAACTCAATTTATCTAATTTATAACCTTCTTCTCTTAATGTTTCAGCATATTTTTTTATTAGCTAAGTCTAATTACAATTGTCTTTATCAATCAAATATGCTTTGTATTTTGCATAACTTTTAATATTATAATCTTTTTTTTTAGATAATGACTATGGGTATTGGAAGTCAAGAATATGAGTCAGTTACTATTCTTTTCATTTGATGATTTATAATGTTTCAGAAGATGTTCTTTTAGCTGTGATACTCTGGATTTGATATATCAGAAACATTATGATCATCCAATTTAATTAATGACTATTATTAGCAATTATTCTTTATAGTAACAGAAGAAGAAGATGCTTGAATTTCATTATTTGAATATGATATAGAATGAAAATTTTCTTCTATGTTTAATCCAGTATTGTGATGATATTTTATAATGAATTGTATAAAAAGTTCAACCAGTTTTAATTAATTCCTTCTGTTACAGTAATTTGAATGCTGATCTTTGCTACTGATATTACAGTACTGAATTTAATCCTTTTGTCAATGTTTTATATAATGTAATACTTTCATAATATAAGCTTTAGTTTCTTGAATATCTATAATATAATGTGTTATTTCAGATAATATTAATTCATATCAATGTGGATGGATAAACACCATATAAAAATAGTATTATAAAATTAAAGAAGGATTTGATATTGATATTAATATAACATCCCCTTGATTAAATAGTATTTATATATACAAAATGATATTGAATTCTTAAAAATTATTATATAATATAGTGTAAATGTTAAGGATGTAACTGTGATATTATAATACGTAATTAAAGATCATCTAATATAATTAATCATATGATTTTACTTTACTATATAATTTGCTAATTCTATCGATCAAAACAGTTATGTAAAATATGCTAAATTTGTCAAATATATTAAATATATCATATATACTAAATGCAGATATGCCAAAATTTATTTTATTATTTATTTTTATATTTACTATTTTTATACTATCAAATTTCTAATAAATAGAATATCTTTAGAACTTTGTTAATAATAATAGATCTTTAACAAAATTTACTTTAGTTTTATCAATAATAAAATAGTTACTAAATATACTTATATTAAAAACAAATATACTTGTAATAAATTCTTTTAATTATAAAACTCTAATTACTTAACCCATAATTATACTTGTCTTTAAAATACATTTTGATTGTGTTAACCTTCAGGGATCTCTGTAAACCTTTATTCTATAAACCTTAAAATTAAATTCTTTGTTAATTTTGCATTAATACTGTGAACGAATAAAATATGATAGGACCTACGTGGCGCAGATGATCGACAAATCTGACAAATCTGACATATATGACAT